GTCACAACATTGTGGAGCCAGTCTCATCACGCTGCAAAAACTATGCCATCACAAGACATATTACAAGTTTTTTTGGCAGGGATATTCCTGCGCGGGTCCTAAGCTTATGGCAGGCCCATTAAGTATATAAGAAGTAACAGCTCTTGTTTTGGACCATAGTATATATACCGACTATCTTGAGGGTATCTTGAGATGATTTCGGGGCTTAGCGTCCCCGCGGTCCGGTCTTCGACCAGTCCTCCTTTTTGTTACACAACCCCAGGAAGCAGCCCGTAGCAGCTGTCTAACTCCCAGATACCTATTTACTGCTAGGCAACAGGAGCCTCCGGGTGAAGGAAACCCTGCCCATTTGTTTCAGTCTCCACCGAGAATCGAACCCGGAACCTCAGAACTACGAATCCGAAGCGCTGTCCACTCAGCTGTCATGCCCCCTGATAGACTACAACGAAACTAGAAAGTAGAAATCGGCACTATTGAGTTGGACAAACCGGAAAACTATTTTTTACTTGTGTTGCAAAGACAAACTAACCCTAACCTAACCTTCCGAGGCCCAATAAGATATCTGAGGCCTAAAACAGTACATGTGTGTGTGTTACACTAGGCCAAGGAATATTTGTTTGTATTTAGATAATTCCTTACTAGTCAGTATACTACTATCTAAAAGATAAATACGTACGAATTCGTGACTATTGAGGATGGTCACAATAGGTACTATCTAATCAGGAGGATGGGTTGTGAATTACGGAAACTACACGAAGCCTATTGACCCACACGTGGCAGCAGCCATTTATACTCCACTCTATCTCATTCATATACATGTCTAACCTACGCTTGCAAGTAGTGATGCTATTATGTTGCTCGGTAATCCCTTCCAAAGATCAACAACCCTCTTAACAAACCAGTACATAACCAGGTCTTTACTAAACCTATACCGTAAGTGGTAGTTTTTATACCCGTGCCTCCTCTTGGGTAGCTTAATGTTCATCAATCTTTATTACAAACAGTTACAGATGTTAGAGTTACAGCACCGCTCCTGTGCCACGTTAAGTCCACTACGGGCTCACCATAGCCCGTGCTACTTGGAACTTCTTGTTCCGAGTAGCTGAATCTAAATACAACAACTATGACAAAGGGATATTGTTAAGGTTTTAAATATCAAAACAAAATTGAACTCAAAACAATTGATCTAAATAGAAGTTTAGAATTGGGAAAGATCTGGAATGCTAGTTTGGAAACAGGGTTGTCAACTTTTGGGAAGCAAACACTACCGGGAAACATTACGAGACGTGGGATCCCTGCACTGTTTCAACCGCAAGTTACACACATGTGTATGAAAGAGCTCGGGTGGATATAAATGAAAGCTGCCTCCTACTTATGTTTTCTTATGTTCGTAATTCCAAGATGAAATTACAGACTAGAAAATCCACACGAATTACGAGCGCACACCCTAGATGGGGTAGCCAGCCATGCCTGGGTGCTGCCTCCCACCACCCCTTCCTCTACATTCCCCTAACACTCCCTAAAACACACTAACAATTAAATTTAACTGAGCAATTGCCATGAAAGTGAAAAAGTGTGATGCACTAATGTTAGCCGTATCAAGATATTTCAAACATAATAAGTTAATTTGCTTCCAGGTTAGATCACATTCTCAGCCAGGTCACATTATTCGTATACACTGAGGCTAGACTAACAAGCAGGTGCCATGGGCCACAGTACGCACTCACACCACTACACTCCCAAGAGTCAAAACAGAGAAGACAAGGGAGTGTACAAACGATGCCTGCGACAAGTCTAGATTTTACGTCTAATATAATGAGGTCTCTTACGAGCATCTCTTACGAACCTATCCTGCCCTTGTGTGGCAGTGCACCATAGAAAGTTGTATTTACATATTCGTACATTGAAACAATGATTATAACCATGATATACGTGTGCTTCAGCCTACAGTTCAGACCGAAGGTATGACCCTTGTTGCTAGGTATGACCCTTGTGTATGACCCTCTGCCCTGTGTGACAGTGAATACCAGCATTATCCTCACTAATAAGACATAATTCAATTCCTCACATTAGACAAAATGGTAATTAATTTGTCAATAAACATGTTAATAATAATAAATGCGACAAGTCTGGGAATACTTCAGGAGGATGCAATGGGAACAAATAAAAAGGTAAAGTAATGAAAGATACATGTTGGAATAACACGTAACCAATATTTAGTGACAGAGAGAAACATTCGCCAACATTGGGAGTAGGCTCACAGGCAGATGGACTAGTGTTCATTAGGAAATGCAGCAAGACATGAAGATAACATTTGTAATTGAAGACACGAAAGAGGAAGGAGGGGGGGGGGGGGGGAAGGAACAGAACAATAATGAAAGAATGAATAAAAGCAAGAGTTGAAAAGGGAGAGTTGGTCTCCAGAGATAAGGACAAACCTAGATTACAACAAAGGATACAGGAAGCCATCCCATCTCTTCACAGAACGGAAACGACATGTGAACCACTTAGGAATACTCAACTCAGACCACCTAACTGTTAGAGGTTACCTTGAGGCAGTTACAAGGACCAATGTTCCGGCGGCCCGGTCTATGACCACGTTCCTGGCCTTCTAGTATATTCATGTATATATTATGTGATACCTCCCTCGTCTCCCTTACCAGAGTGAGCATTGTGAGAGCTTTCAGACGGCGCGAATAATTTAGGTGTTTTGTCGTATGTGTGTATTCGTACATGTTCGATATATGGTCTCTGTATTCCCCTATTACAGAAATATCTCCTACTTTGAAAGAGGAAGCGAGTACAGAGTAGACTGTTCTGGTGATGTGTTCGGCATTTCCCCACATTGCTGACACACTTCTAGAACCTGTAAGCATAATTCCCATGCACGTGGGTATTCAAGCCTGAGGCAGTGTAAGTGCACTTCTGTTCTTCCTTTTCACATAGTAAGTGATTGACAGATGGAGTCGTGTCCCACCCCGCAGATCCTAGAGTTGCAGCTGCTACTGTGTTGTGGTCACGTCGTCTTCTGCATGACTATCTCCAGTTACTTTCTTAATCTGTGCTAGACACTGGAATGTAAACGTCTACATTCCTCCTCTCAGTAGCTCCATGTGCAGTGTCATTCTCTAGTATTCCTACATGACTCGACACACCCAGGTGATGTCATTCGGCAACCTTAACATTTAGGTGTTCGCATTAATGCTGAAACATTCGTGGACAGATGGACATCTTCAGGCAAGTGCTCTTGTTGCAAGGTTTCACTGCCACTTCTCGACAGTGTGTGTACGATAGAGAGTTGTCAGTGTTCAGAAAGAGCATGTTGCAAAGCTTTTTGAATAACTAGTATGACTGGGAGGTGAAGGGAGGGGGGAGTAAAGAGGGGGGTAGTAATGAGGGGGGAGTTAAGCGGGGGGTTAAGAGGGGGGAGTTAAGAGGGGGGAGTTAAGAGGGGGGGAGTTAAGAGGGGGGGAGTTAAGAGGGGGGGAGTTAAGAGGGGGGGAGTTAAGAGGGGGGGAGTTAAGAGGGGGGGAGTTAAGAGGGGGGAGTTAAGAGGGGGGAGTTAAGAGGGGGGGAGTTAAGAGGGGGGAGTTAAGAGGGGGGGGAGTTAAGAGGGGGGGGAGTTAAGAGGGGGGAGTTAAGAGGGGGGGGAGTTAAGAGGGGGGGAGTTAAGAGGGGGGGAGTTAAGAGGGGGGGGAGTTAAGAGGGGGGGGAGTTAAGAGGGGGGGGAGTTAAGAGGGGGGGGGAGTTAAGAGGGGGGGGAGTTAAGAGGGGGGGAGTTAAGAGGGGGGAGTTAAGAGGGGGGGGGAGTTAAGAGGGGGGGGGAGTTAAGAGGGGGGGAGTTAAGAGGGGGGGAGTTAAGAGGGGGGGAGTTAAGAGGGGGGGAGTTAAGAGGGGGGGAGTTAAGAGGGGGGGAGTTAAGAGGGGGGGAGTTAAGAGGGGGGGAGTTAAGAGGGGGGGAGTTAAGAGGGGGGGAGTTAAGAGGGGGGGAGTTAAGAGGGGGGGAGTTAAGAGGGGGGGAGTTAAGAGGGGGGGAGTTAAGAGGGGGGGAGTTAAGAGGGGGGGAGTTAAGAGGGGGGGAGTTAAGAGGGGGGGAGTTAAGAGGGGGGGAGTTAAGAGGGGGGGAGTTAAGAGGGGGGGAGTTAAGAGGGGGGAGTTAAGAGGGGGGAGTTAAGAGGGGGGAGTTAAGAGGGGGGGGGTTAAAAGGGGGGGGGGGAGGTAAGAGGGAGAGTTGGAGGTAAGGATAGGGGAATGTTAGAGGAAGATAGGTATGGAAGGTGGGAGATGGTTGGAGGAGGGAGGATGCGAGGTAAGGTGGGAAGGGTATGGGTCATGGGCAAAGATGGTTGTAATTTTCTTCCCCATCGTCAGTAGTGATAAAGTGTATAGGGGTCGTGGCGTCAGGTTCACTCATTACCAGTCATGGGTCAGGAGACGAGGGACACAACCAGCTGCTGCCAGTGGGTGTCACTCCCAACAACCAAACACTCACTTTATGGCCATACAATATCATTTTATTCACTTCGACGTTTGATGCCTGGACTGACCATACCTGTGTAACAACTGGAATAACCCCGCACTACAGCTGCAGCAGCCGGCAGTGTTACCTACTGAGCCACCAACACCCACCATAAGAAAGCATCCCAGACACCCATTTGATTTTCAACTGGAAATTTAGGGTACACTTTAGGTCATACATACACCTGATTATTTTGGGGATAAATTCAAAATTACACATTCTAAATATACTGAAAGTGTAAAGTGTTGGGCATAAAAAGAGAAATAAACTAGATAAACCCATGATATCCACACCTGAGATATCTAATGAAACGGAACAAGAATTAATACTTATGTGAAGAGGCGAGGCCCCGAGGAAGGGTGGGCGGGTGGAGGCAGGGTCGGTGAGCGCCGCCTCCGCCGCCGCCGGTGTGTTACCTGCTCGTGTACAAGACGGCACAAACACAGGTGAGACAAGACAAAGCTACGTCAAGACTACTTACTTCTGCAGGTCCCGGCACTTGACGACCTTGCCGAAGGTGCCCTCGCCCAGAGTGGTAATGATCTTGTCTGCAAGAGAGCAAGGAGGAAGAGTCAGGAGCCACAACTGGTGCGAACAGCCGCCCGCATTCTCATACAAACAGCTACGTTAACCGCGGGGGCCAAACACAATACAACAAACTTTCATATATATACAGATTAATGGCTGAAATATTCGTTGAAGATCATAACGGATATTTACAGGGCAATTCATACAATGAATAACACTGTATCCCCTTTCCTGTCTCTCATTAATATCTCTAAGCTTTTCTTTTCGGTGAAAAGTATCATCAGTACTGAGAGGGAAGGAGGAGCGGCTAGAGGTACAGGTTAGGCTTACAAGTATGGCGGGGGATACCAATTGAAATGTAGAAATTTGTTTAACAAATTTTGATCCTTCAAATATTGGGTAAGACTCTATGTGTGTTAGCTATGTGATGGCTGCAGTGTTATGAGCAACGTTGTATAAAGAACTGAGTGTGAAGCCAGTGTCGTAATAACTAGGAAGAGGAGAACAAAAATGAAGATAAAACAGGGAGTCTTATTCACGAACATCTATCTTGCAGCACGTCGCCATTGCGGTATATGAGATGTCCTTCTTCATCATCTTCTACTGAGGGTGCCCGTGAACTCTGGAGGGAGCCCGGCCCAGTACACGCCCGCGCCGCCACCAGCAGCAGCAGCACCAACAGCGTCAAGAGCACCAGCAGGAGCAGCAGCAGGAGCAGCAGGCACGGCAGGCACGGTGGGGCATCAGTGGGAGGGTCACATGGTTCACCACCACAGCCATGTCACACGACGAACCGCAGGGCAACAGGCCACCAACAAGACAGATAAAGAGGGGAGAAGGCAAAATGGTGGCCACTATCAAGGGGAGCCACGGTGGCCACAACACCATGGCAGCATATACATTCAGGCCCTACTGGTGCTCTCTCCACCACTTAACTCTATAAATATACACATATATGGATGCATATATATATAGCATTGAAACTACCCAACTACACGTCTTGAGTATCACCTTAACTTACTACCAAACAATATATCAAAATTAATTAGGTAAGACAATGATGTGTTGAGGGATATGCAGAGCCAGGGAGACCAATGGTGATGGAACAAGTGCCACCTCCCCCCCCCTCACACACACACACACACACACACACACACGCACGCACACACACACACACACACACACACACACACACACACACACACACACACACACACACACACAAAGGCGACACCTGCTCCACTCTCACCACAACCACACCTCCAGAACACAATAATAACTCACCATTATCACCAAAAATTATTAAAAACAAATAAAACTATTTGGCCCGTTAGTGCTATATACCAAATACACACATCTACCAGCCGCTCCGAGTGACCCCTCACCCTACAGCTTCGCCAGCTGCACCCATAACCTCTTCTACATTTCATTGTCAACATTTCTTTCTCCACCCAAAGTATTTGAAACGTCTCTGTCATGTCTCCCCTCTTCCAGCGATGTTTGATCTAGCTCTTTCAGTCTCTCTTCATACCCCAACCTCTGCAATTCTGGGGGTGAGCCTCGTTGCAAATTTAAACTTTACCCCGCCACCATATTTGGGACAATGGTGGTGGGTGGTGGCGGTGGGTGATGTGGGGGTAGGGGGTGGTGGTGGTCGTGGGTGGTGTGGGGGTAGGTGGTGGTGGGGGTAGGTGGTGGTGGTCGTGGGTGGTGGTGGTCGTGGGTGGTGTGGAGGTAGGTGGTGTGTGTGTGGGGGTAGGTGGGTGGTGGTGGTTGGTGGTGTGGGGGGTAGGTGGGTGGTGGTAGGTGGTGGTGGGTGATGTGGGGGTGGGTGGGTGGTGATGGGTGGTGTGGGGGTGGTGATGGGTGGTGTGGGGGTGGTGATGGGTGGTGTGGGGGTGGTGATGGGTGGTGTGGGGGTGGTGATGGGTGGTGTGGGGGTGGTGATGGGTGGGTGTGGGGGTGGTGATGGGTGGTGTGGGGGTGGTGATGGGTGGTGTGGGGGTGGTGATGGGTGGTGTGGGGGTGGTGATGGGTGGTGTGGGGGTGGTGATGGGTGGTGTGGGGGTGGTGATGGGTGGTGTGGGGGGGTAGGTGGTGGTGGTGGAGGTGGGTGATGTAGGGGAAGGTGGTGGTTGATGTGGGGGTGGTGGTGGGTGATGTGTGGGGGGGGTGGTGGGTGATGTGGGGGTGGTGGTGGGTGATGTGGGGGTGGTGGGTGATGTGGGGGTGGTGGGTGATGTGGGGGTGGTGGGTGATGTGGGGGTGGTGGGTGATGTGGGGGTGGTGGGTGATGTGGGGGTGGTGGGTGATGTGGGGGTGGTGGGTGATGTGGGGGTGGTGGGTGATGTGGGGGTGGTGGGTGATGTGGGGGGGTGGTGGGTGATGTGGTGGGTGATGTGGGGGTGGTGGGTGATGTGGGGGTGGTGGGGTGATGTGGGGGGGTGGTGGTGTGGTGGGTGATGTGGGGGGTGGTGGTGGTGGTGGTGGGTGATGTGGGGGGGGGTGGTGGTGGGTGATGTGGGGGGGGGTGGTGGTGGGTGATGTGGGGGTGGTGGTGGTGGGTGATGTGGGGGTGGTGGTGGTGGGTGATGTGGGGGTGGTGGGTGATGTGGGGTGGTGGTGGTGGGTGATGTGGGGGTGGTGGTGGTGGTGATGGGTGGTGTGGGGGTAGCTGGGTGGGTGATGTGGTGGTGGGTGATGTAGTGGTGGTGGTGGGTGATGTAGGGGTAGGTGGTGGTGGCGGTGGGTGGTGTGATGATGGTGGGTGGTGATGTTGGGTGGTGTGGTGGTGGCGGGGGGTGTTGGTCGTGGATGATGTGGGGGGTGGTGGTCGTGGATGATGTGGGGGGTGGTGTGGGGGATGGTGGTGGGTGGTGTGAGGGCCGAGGGTGGCGGGGTGTATGGGGAAATACTGGGTCACTGGATACATGGCTGGTGTCTTGACTGTCAGCCAGTGTGTTAAGAGTATTTGCTAAATAATAAGGTTGAGGTGGTTGATAGAGGCCTAGCCAGGTGCTGCTGGGAAATGAACCAGGTTACAATGAGTTGATGGTATAGTTCAGTGTAGTTATTATCATCATGAGTACAAGTTGTCAGAGCGATACGTTACAACATTTCCATGCAACACTGGAGTGCTAAGTTAGTGGCAGCTTCAAGTTGCCCAATTTAAAGCAGCTGGAGTAGACTGCCTAGAACAAGGATACTTGAAGACTTTGTTAAGTGGGTGAGAGGAAGTAGTTAAGGAAGAGATGGTTGTAGAAATGGTAAAAGCAGTATTGGAGCATCAGTCTAGGCAGCAGTAGCAACAGCAGAGCAGCGTGAGCCTAACACTGCTCTACTTACGTCACTACTCACGCTACTAGAGCTGTAGAGTGAGGAATAACAGTGCTTGACAATGTTCTTGCCCCCCACCTCTTTGATGCCCAACAGGTCCATGGCTCCGGACTTTCTGGCCGGCGGCGGCGCCATGCTGTGAGCCGCCACTGACGAGGTCGTCGACGCCGACAAGGTAGACTTAAGACTCTTCCCATTGCCTGAAGACGACGCATCCAGGCCCCCACTGATCTTGGGCTTGTACTTTGCCGCAGAATAGGCGTCAAGGCTGTCCTTCGGCTTAGAATGAATTTTAGTGTAAGAGGCAGTAGGGGCATTCGAGGTTTTTGGCTTTACCGACACAGTAAGTGACATTGTGTGCTCGAGTGGAGTCTTAGGAGTGAGGGCTGGCACGTAATTTGTCTCGCACAAAACCTTGTTATTTACAGAAGCCTTGTTGTGGTCCTTGTGGTTGCTACTGTGTATGTTGTCATTGCTGCTACTACTAATGTTAGAATGGTGTGGTTTAAATGTGGTGAACGTATATTCATGATCGGGTTCTATATAGTTAGAAATTTTAATAATGGGAGCTGTGGGCGAGGAGGGAGTCTGAATGCCGTAGAGACTATGGGGGGTGTCTAGAAGGGAAGAACCTAAGGGCTTGTTATATTCCATAAGGTTTAGTCTCGCTCTAGATTCAGAGGGAGATTCTATGAGGTCGACTGTGTTAGTCCTGGAGAGGGCGAGGGTGGTGGGCTTGACGGGCTTGCTCGCCGTGACGGGCTTTTCACGCATGGCAGCCTTCTCGAACACAATGGGAGGATCGTATAACACAAACTTATCAGACTCGGGCGTGCTACGTTTGGACACGGTATCTGTGCCTTTGGCGGAAGTTCTGGCTATGGCGGAGAGCACGTCACTGGTGGAGGCACTGCCGTACAACACTTTCCGGGGAGGTCCTTGACATCCCTCTTCATCCTGGTAGGTGCGGAAAGCCGTCACCTTGGCGGCCATTTCCTTGACCTGGTCATAGCGCCGCGTGCCTTGCCGTCCTGCGCCATCTGGGTCGCTGGAACCAAGTGGCTCTTGGCCGCGTTTCAGAAATTTGCGGTTATGAGAGCTGCCGATATTATGGAGGATGTTGAGGGGAAGGGAGTACATGTTAATGAGCTGGGCACGCTCTTTGCGGCGCGTAGATTCATCGACGACACTATCTGGCGTAGCTGAAGAAGTGGTACTGCCCGTCTCTGTATCCAGTGTGGTAGCGGAGAGCCCGGAGTATCTCTTCATGATGGAGCTAGTGCTCTCCCGACCTTCCTGGGTCTCCGGCACCGTCACAGGTCGGACCATCCGCTGGCGTGCGGAGCCGCTGATGAGAGCGCCGTCGCCATGACGCCGTCGCAGCTGAGGGCTCAAGTTGCCCAGTTTTATACTCCTGTTCTCCATACATCTTTCCATAACATTTGGAGATATAGACCCATACTGGGACCAGTAGTCAGATTTCTTTGTGCTAACATTATTTCGAAGTACACAAAGTTCGTCATTACTTTCGTCTTCTTCGTTACAACCACTTCCTGTCAAATTACTTTTCCTTAAAAATTGACTAGGCTTGTATCGGGCACCAATCTTGTCGTAGTTTGGTGCTGGGGCAGAATGAGAGACATAAGCACTGCGCAATCCATAGTCTGAGTCCACTCCCAGGTCAGAGGCTGTCCGATTGTAGATCGGTCGACCACTGCCGCTCCCATACCTCTTTCTGGGAGAACCTTCACACTTATTTAAGTCCGAACCGCCATAATCAGATCTGAAAGTGGAGAAAGAGGAGAAAGAAGCCGAGGGAGCCAAGGCATGACCGCTCCTGTACCCCGAGGCTGCAGCAGATCCGTACCCAGACCCGTACTTGTACCCGACATCGTAAGCTGACGATGAGGCTCCGAGCTTGCTACGGGAGGACGGGCCATCTAACTTGGAAGACTTTGATTTGAGATGGGCGTAGTGAGCAGTGGACTTGTAGTCAGTGTAGCGCGGAGACTCCTCGTATTTGTTGTACTTGAGCAGCATCGGGTACTGGGTGTGGGAGGACTTACTGGAGGCAGCGCAGCCGCTGGAGACTATGTTGTTACTGGTGTCGTGGAGGGGCACGCGGTCATCCCCGCACTGCGATACGGCTCTCACGCGGGAGGCGAACTTGTTGAAGAGGTTCGAACACCGGTTAAGGATGTCCCCCCCGGAGTCTTGCAGGATATTGGTGTAGGAGGTTGTGGCGCTCCTGCCGTACTGGTGGCGGGTGCGTCCGCTCATACTGGCGGCCGCCCCGCACGCCCACCCCCTCCACGCCCTAGTCTCGCATAGCACACGTCACTTGTACACGCCCATTTACAGCGACACTAGTGACAAGTCTGGGCCCTCTCCAACTAACACTTTTGTCTGTCAAAACGTCGTCTTTATCATTTGTTTTCGCATGTGTGGAGGCGGTGGAGCAGGAGAGGGAGCCAAGCGTCCTGCCCAGGAGCCAGCGGAGCCACCAACCACAGCAGCTCTGGTACTGGTAACTCAGAGGTAAGAAACAAGTATGAGGAGACCAAAATGCCGTGAAGCAGGTAAGTGGGTGAGCAAAGTGTAACTGAAGCAGACCTCAGCAGCGGGCAGGCAGGAGCAACACCATGCCCAGGGGATAAAAATACCCAGGGCGCCGCCACTCTTCGTCTCCAGCAGAGGTAGTGCCGACCCTCTCCCGTCGCCAGCCCCCACATTCCCAGATGCCAGCCCCCACACACCCGTCGCCAGCCCCCACACACACCCGCCGCCAGCCCCCACACACACCCGCCGCCAGCCCCCACATTCCCAGATGCCAGCCCCCACATTCCCAGATGCCAGCCCCCACATTCCCAGATGCCAGCCCCCACATTCCCAGATGCCAGCCCCACATTCCCAGATGTCAGCCCCCACATTCCCAGATGCCAGCCCCCACACACCCGCCGCCAGTCCCCCACATCCACCGACGGCTACCCCTCCCCCCACCCCGTGGTAGAGGACGATACGATAATTATCACGACAGAATAGGATTTGGGATGGGGGGTCGGAAGTTAGGAACTGTGTGGTAATGGGTAATTCTGGCAAATACTCTTAATTTACCTCCAGGTAAAACAGCAAGTGGGCGGGCGGGCGGTGCAGGGCGGGCGGGCGGGCGGTGCAGGGCGGGCGGGCGGTGCAGGGCGGGCGGGCGGGCGGGCGGGCGGTGCAGGGCGGGCGGGCGGGCGGGCGGTGCAGGGCGGGCGGGCGATGCCGGAATACGGCAGTATCTTTCAACAAGTATTTATTTTGCCATGCAAACACGTACAATGTATTATTCAGTACACCGTAATGTACTAAAATGTCGAAGCTCTCAATGCGTGTGAAGCCTCAGCTCTGTCCATCTTACCACGTATTCCTCTCCTCATAACCTGTGCACTTGCTTCTCTGGTCACCATGGGTCGCATCAAGGGAATTTACCGTTTAAAATTAACGAAACACTTCTTGTGACGATGTAAACACTGTGGGATCAACCCATACCGATTTGGAAGGGCAAGTTATGCTCCAGCACGTGGAGGGGGACAGCACCTGCATGTATCTTATGGACGAGGTCCTCAGCAGGGGCAAGTTTGTCCAATTACGGTGTTAGCTGAGACCGCAAATGTTCATGCATCGATATCAGGGAGCCGGTCGGCCGAGCGGACAGCACGCTGGACTTGTGATCCTGTGGTCCTGGGTTCGATCCCAGGTGCCGGCGAGAAACAATGGGCAGAGTTTCTTTCACCCTATGCCCGTTACCTAGCAGTAAAATAGGTACCTGGGTGTTAGTCAGCTGTCACGGGCTGCTTCCTGGGGGTGGAGGCCTGGTCGAGGACCGGGCCGCGGGGACATTAAAAAAAAAACGAAATCCTCTCAAGATAACCTCAAGATAACCTCTAGCAGCAGCAGCAGAGTGAAAGAACAAAGTATTGAAACCCTTGCATGTGACGTCACGAAGCCACGTGTTGTGTGTTTACATGTGGTTCTGGGTTTAGCGGAGGCTGCCTTCGTAATGTTAGTTGTGGATCATTATCATATCCATGTCCAGGATAATTTTGTCACATATGAATAATTATGTATGAACATTACCTCGGTATCGGTTATAACGCAGCTCGTCCTCCTAAGGTTTCCTAACATCAAGAAAACGGTCAGTTTAAAGTGTCCTTTCCTAACCTACCAGAGGACCAAAAACAGAAAACAGAAACAGCACGTCACTTTTGCAAGCCGCTTCGCTCAACCACTTGGGCTGAACGGTAGAGCGAAGGTCATGTTTTATGCAGATCGGAGTTGAAACCCCGACCGTCCAAGTGGTTGGGCACCATTCCTTCCCCCGTCCCATCCCAAATCCCTATCTTGACCCATTCCAACTGCTATATAATTGTAATGACTGAGCTTTTCCTGGATAGTTCCCTTCCCATCCATTTTCTAGTACTGTACGACAATTTGTGGCCTCATGTAACGCATACGAGTGAAAAGCGACGTTCTTTGTAGGATGACAGGTTGCGTTGGGAGCGCTCGGTAGGACCTCACAACTGGTGTGCCCGAGCCAACCCAGCCACAGGACCCACCAACAGAAACAGGACATCACGTTAATTTTCGCGAGCCGCTGCCAATTTTCGTGCATCAGTTTTTGGCTTTGGGTAAAGTGATAAAATGCGACGTGCTATTAGGAGACCAGGTTGGTCGGGCGACGCAGCGCCAGCAAGACCTGCCTCATGCAGTGCATTTTGCGACCTTCCTTTCTCTCATACAAGGTAATATTTGCAAAGAAAACAATGGTAAATGAACTTTCAAGTAATGGTGATTTGGACCGAGACACTGAGGTAATTATAATGTAATTAGAATGGTCACGCTACTTGCAGCTAAGTAGTTTATTATTCACTCCATCATGCCCCTGTTGTTAGAGGGAGGTGAAGGGTCTCACACGGGCCTCACTCCTCTCTCCTGCCAAAGCAAGCTAAGAGCACTAATTCTCAATTGGTACCATAAACTGTGTAAACAATTTATAGATAACGTAATGATTGGGTTAGATAATGACTTGCGTTCCAGCACGTAACTTTAATCCGTTTTCAACTGGCTCTTAACCTGATAGGACTCCGACTCCGGGGATAGGGGGGGGGGGATAATTAAATGGACTTGCACAATGATTGTTTCAAGTCTACCCGAGGTAGGTGGTCAGCCTTCCAACACGATGATTCATCTTCCCGTAACAAACGCTCCCTCCTCCACACCTGTCTTCCCTGGGGGGGTTGTACAGGTGCTGGTCGTGGCCCACACCTGCCTTCCCCAGGGGGGGGGTTGTACAGGTGCTGGTCGTGGCCTACACCTGCCTTCCCCAGGGGGGTTGTACAGGTGCTGGTCGTGGCCCACACCTGCCTTCCCCAGGGGGGGGGGGGGTTGTACAGGTGCTGGTCGTGGCCCACACCTGCCTTCCCCAGGGGGGTTGTACAGGTGCTGGTCGTGGCCCACACCTGCCTTCCAGCCTTGGCCTACCAATGATGGCAGCCGGCCAGCATACCTTGCTGAGGCCTGGAGAGTGAAGGGAGGGGGGGCCGGCGGCGGTTGCAGCCGCCAGCAGGGTGGATGAACTTGAACAATAAAGATAGAAATAGTAAGAAATGAGAGCAGCAGGTAGAGAAGCTGCTCCCGTGCAGGAGGCACTGATGGTGTGGTCCAACAGTAATAACCAGATCGCATATTTCCACACTTATATTTACAGTGTCCACCTGTCTTCTGGTTCAACTTTCTCTCAATATAAAAATAACGTCCATGTGCCTCATGACTATCTCTCTCAGTATCTTTTATGAAGTGCTCATACTCCCTGAGTTTCTTCTTTCCTCTAAGGCTGAGACTCGGTTATCTAACGTGTCTTCGTAGTTTCCTCTTAATTCTCACAAACTTCTCAACTTTTAACATTGTTTTGTGCTCCACGACAGGCGGAGATGATAAGTGTATCATCAACATGATAATACAACACCAGTGTATTATCTGCGCCACGACAGGCGCAGATAATACACTGGTGTTGTATTCTTGTACTGGCCTCGCATAGGACATATAAACTGCCTTCAAAAAGTACCTTTCCGAGTGAATATATACCCTTATAATGTCATCCTGTTTATAGGAGCCTCGATGGAAATATATCCATTACGTCTTTTTATCTTAAAAAATCCTGTAGTTGCGTTCCCCTTGTGGAATATATTCCATGTGAACAAACCTTCGGGTGTAGTCTTCATTACTATACACGTGTTGGGGTTGAAGAAAAACATTTCTCTGTCCACTGCTAGAGTTTGCCAAAGGTGGCCTTTTAATTCTCTGCAGTCCTCTTCGGTTGGTAAATCTCATTAGCTCGATATGATGTACAAGGTTGCAGGTGACCTGAGAGTGCAAGTGCGACCAGTGCCTTGTGATAATGTCTTCGTCAGGAGCATATAATGCTCCCTATAATTTTCCTGTCATGCTAGGCGTGCTTGCTTATGCTCTCGCTGTACGTCACATCCTTACACATCATTCTTCCCGGTTCATCTTCTTTAAAGAGATTTGATTGCAGTTTGTAACACAGGACGATGCATTTCTTCAAGCAGGGATACAATGCTGCAGCAGTTTCCTTAACTACGGCAATCTCTTTTCCATACTATAAATATATAACAATCCACTCATGATACACGTGGCCGCTCTCCTTATTACCTTGCCAATATTTTCTTTTAGTTGGAAGCCCCAAAGAAGATACTGGGTGAACGCTGGATGGAACCCTAGAGATTGGCACAGGTGACCGGGGTTAGTGGGTACAGTGAGGCTACCGACCCCCCCCCCCTTCACATGGGGAGGGAATTAGACCCCCCCCCCGCCACTCTCCCAAGTTGCCACCCCCTCTGCTCTCCCAAAGAGGAAACTGAGACAAGGGTGGAGAGAAGGGAAGAGTGAGGTGAGTGTGCAGAGTGTGGGCGTGTTAATGTGAGGTAGCCGAGGTGCAGCACAACTGGTGCCGCTCACAGCCCCACCCTTCACTACCCTCCTGGTGCCCGCCTAACACTCGCTACCACCAAACTATTTCCACCACTAGCCTTCTTCAACCTGTTGCGTTATAACTCTTCACGTTCCAATTCTTCGTCGAATCTGCCTTCAAAGTTCTGGATGGAGGTGGCTTTCACAACTTCTTTCAACGCATTCTATTTGTTGAGCTCATAATCATACTCATTTGCTGAAATACTCATACAGAGTATGAGTATTTCCTTACATTACTTACTCATTTTAGTTTTCCGCTTCGACTTTGTCCTCTTGTCCTTGTTTCTCTTAATTTAAAAATCCTGTTTTTGTCGACCTTGTCTATTCCGCTCAGTAACTTGTATGGAGTGATCATATCTCCTGTGTTCCTTCTCTTCTCCCGAGTTGAGATGTCTCAACCCATCCTTGTAGACAAGTCCTCTTAGTTTTGGCACTAACCTTCTTGCAAACCTCTGCTCTTTTTACATGTTTATTTTGCGCTTTACAAGGTGCCGATTCCTGGCTTTTGGTTATTATATTATTGACCCTAGAATAGCTGTAATGATTTGATTTAAAGTGTCCTAACACACATTAGTGTTAAGACACTAAGCTTTTATATGCCGTTCTAATACTGGTCGGCTTTCCTTATCCTGTGGTGTTATCCTGTATACATGTGACTCTGGTGTTACATCAAATACCAAATATTTTTATATTTCCAAGTCCTGTA